GCCCTATCTAAGATCATAAGAAGACTTGGGCTTTGTAGGAGCTTGAAGTATAGACAATGTCAAGAGTTTTCTTCAGGAAAAAAAATACAAAATAAACAAAATGAGGTATACATATGTAGAAAGAGCCTGAACAAGTAAAGATATTTTAGACTTCGTTATTAGGTTCATGACAATTCTACCTAATTTTGCTCAAGTAGAAAGCATAAGAAAGTTTCCATTTCTTCATTGTCTTAATTCCCCTTAAGAGTGAATCTGTCAGATCTTGGCAGAAGAGAAAAAAAGAGTGTGGAGTTTGATAACCAAGTCAAGAACAACACTTTGGAGCATGGAAGTCTCAAGTCATCTGTTTGCATGTCATAGGAAGGCTCTGCTCTGGTGTTTACAAGAACTGGTAGAATGTGCAAGGCTCCACAGCTGTGTCCAACAGGCAGCACTGCAGGGAGGTGGGTCTGATCCCCTAGAACCATCCAGTGTGGTTGTAGCTGAAGTTAAGGTGGGCTGACAGAGCAAGACTGGCACGCAGTGAAATCCTTAATAAATAGCATTATATGGGGCTGAAAAGTGGCTCTGTGGTCAAGGTACTTTTTACAGGGAGCTGCATTCTGATCTCTGGAACCCAAAAGCTGGGCTGGGTGCAGCTGCATTTGTAACCCCAACACTGGCAGAAAGAAAGAGAACAGAAGGATCCTGGGGTCTCATTGGCCAGCTACTTGAGTCACAAGGGACAGCTCCAGGTTCAATGAGTCCCCTATCTCAAACAAAAAATAAGATGGGGGGTAATAAAGGAAGACATCTGACATTGACCTCTGGCTCCATATGTGCATGCCTGGGTGAGTGGGTGCAGCTAAGAATGCTGACTGATTGACCTCCTTAACACGGGATAAGCGATGTCTTGCTTTATGCTATTTGGCTTCTGTTATTACAAATAATTAATACCAGATATAGGTTGGGCCATGATAAATGCTAGGATAATCTGTTTAGGGCAAGGTACTGAGTGCTGAGTGAAACATTCAAAATTGGATATTTTTTTTTCCTACTAAGACTCTGAAACTTCAAAGGCAGCCCGATCACTGTCCATGGAAAAGAGTTTTCTTGGAGCATGGACAGCAAGACCTATTCTTATTCAATAGTTTCTGAATTAATCTTACTTAGTAGTCTCCGATACCCTTGTATTTGTGGCTCTTGTAGCATGCGCTGAGTGGCCCTTTGGCCAGATTGTCCCAGGCATGTTACATGAGTTACGGCACAGCAAACATAAAATGAAGTGAGGTGACTGTCCTGTACCGGCAACATTTATTTCTGCCAGATTCTGCCAGAGCTCCCGCCCAGGGTTCCAGACAGCACTCAGAGGGCCAGCTTTACTCAATCTGTCAGCGCAGAAAGTTAGAGATTCAAATCCAGAGTCCAGCATTCTTCAGCAGATTGAGAAATGGAGTCTGTGGGAGAGATTGACTTATGCGAGAGTCTACTCTAAATGGAAGGCAGGTCAAGGCAAGAAAAGCCTAGGATGGCTTCAGCAGACATCTTGTAAGATAGGCACAAAGACAGCTACCTTTTTCTTTCTACTCCTGCTTCCCAAATCAGAGGTTTTGCTGATGAATCAAACAGACAGAGACAAGGTTTAAAATGATCTTCACACCAGGAAATGAACATACTGGGCTTTGGGGATAAGCAGGATTGCTTGAAAGGGACCCTCCACATGCCAAGAAGTCTCTTCCCCTTTCTTGGTTCTTCCCTGAACTCCAGATTCAGTCAAATTTATTTCTCCTCAGGGCCCTTTTAGTCTTTGCTTAATGAGACTGGTGGTTGCCGAGGGTGTGATTGACATTCAGTTATGCACAGCTTGTATTCATCTTCCTGAGAAAGGACATTGCACAAGAAAGGATTGCCAAGGGCAACCGTGGCAGCATTTCTGAGAGAGCAGCGGCATTCCCGGCAGTGAGGAAACACCAACTGCTCCCTAGCAGATGGAGGATGGTGATGGCAGGAGGCAGGACGCTGAGAGGAATTATAATCCTCCTACACTGCCAGGTTCTTTTCTGGTGCCTGTTAGACCTGCTTGTGTTTGTAACCCAGGGTCTGGTTTGCAGGAGACCTGAGCCAAGTTTTGATTGGAGGGAAGGAAATTCGTGGGGAGTAAAATTCGATCGCTTGCAAGTGAGTTAGAACATCTCAATTTCCTTCGTGGATCAAACAAGACTTCACTGCCAGCTTTAGACACCCAAACTGATTCTTCATTGAAGTCCACTGCTAAGAAATGTGGATCTTTGGCTTGCCTATAGTGAGGGCCAAAACAATACACCTAAACGCTCGGCATACAGTGGCTTGGAAGCCAACTTGCCGAGCGTGTGGCCTGGCCAGGACCGGGTAGCTGGCAAGCTGGCTGTACTCCGTCCTCATGCCTCAGACCACAAGCAAAGAAAATGGATGTTCCTGACTCTGTAGTCTGTGTATTGCTTGGTGAGATGGTGGACAAAGAAGCTGGTATTCTGTGTTGGCTGAGTTCTACCCGTGCCCTCTCTGTGTCTCAAGGCCCCCTTCTTTGTCCCAACCTCATATTCTCTCTAAGAAAAGAAAGGCCTTGTAATTATGCCTATGACAGGATATGCGCAGCTCGTTTTGGGGTGAGTTTCATTTTTAATTAAGCTGGACCGTTCTTCAAACTCAAACTTTAAACACAGAGTCACAGTTTAGAGAACAAGTCTCCAAATTAGAAAGGAGACCTCAAGGTTTTGTTGAGGTATAATTGACATGAAAATAAACTGTGCATTCTTAAAGTGTGCAATCTAATGTGCTTTGACATATGCATTCACCACTTGGTTGTGGTAAAATCATCACCGCAAAATGAACATATTCATCACTCCCTCCCCCCCAAATTTCCCTCTTGCTCCTTTGCAGTCAACCCTGTCCCCTGTTTCTGACCCAGCCTATGCACCCTCCAATGGCCCCAGGCAGCGTGTATCAGTTTCTCATCATGTTAGTTTCCATTTTCTTGCATTTTAAATAAATCATATAGTTCATACCCTTTCTTGAGTCTGGCTTGTTCCAGCGAGCTTTACTAGTTTTGTTGCTTTCAAACAATTGGTTAAGTTGCTGAATCCATTGCTGTAGGTATACATACAACACATCTGTGCTATTGCTTTACTCTGTGGATTTGGAGGCACCGACGTGTTACGTTCCTAATATCAGTGATCTCTGTCTTCTCCGCTGCTTCTCCAGTGTTTCTGGGTAGAGTGCCATCACTCTTACTGACCTTTTCAAGCCAAATAGCCCTTGCTCTCAGATTGTTCTCTTCTGTTTTTCAGTTAGTTGACCTTAGCTCTGACACCTATTATTTCCTTTGCTTTGCTTTACTTCTTTGGTTTAATTTGCTTTTTTTTTTTTTTTCCAGTTTCTTAAGATGGAAGCTGAAGTTAATGACTTAAGGACTTTCTGCTTTTTTCCTTTCTTCTCCTTCTTCTTCTTCTTCTTCTTCTTCTTCTTCTTCTTCTTCTTCTTCTT